GGCGGCAGCAGCAGCCCTGCCCCCTCGGGGTCAGCCGGCTCGAAGCAGCCCAGGGGCGACGAGGAGGAGGACGCCGGGCGCTCCCGCGGCGGCGGCGCCAGGGACAGGTCCATGCCCGGGGGCGTGGAGCGGAAAGCCGCCTCCAGGCGCTTGGCGGTGGAGGCACTCAGACTCTTGTGCAGGAAAAGGTCGTCTTCGCCCGCGGCGGCCGCGCCGAGGTGCAGCCCGCGCTCCATGGTCCGGCGCCGGCTCGCAGCCCCGGCCCGCCGCGCCGGCCACCGGTGCCTCCGCCGGGAAGTCAGGCGGTGCCGCAGACGCGCGGGAGTCGGGGTCCGCGACTGGCGCGCGCGTCGATCCCGGGGTAGCTGGCAGTTCTCTCTCCTTCTTTTTCTTTTTCGCCTTCCCCCGCGCTCGCCGCCTCCTCTTCTTCGTCTTCTTCGTCTCCAGCCGATGGTGCTGGCTGCTGGGGCTCACCATGGGCCGCGGCCCCGCATGGTGGGAGGGTGGGTGCGGAGGGAGTGGAGCCGCCGCCGCTGCCGCCGCCGCTCTGAGCCCAACCCCGCGCCTCCTCTCCGCACCGTTTATCTTGCTTGGATTCACCTTCAAGAGATTTCCGGACCCATCAACCAGCCGCCGCCACAGACGGGGGAGTCTTTTACATCATTATCTCTGAGTAGGTTATTATGAAGAAGACTCGCCTGTTGGGACAGCGCTTTCTACCCAATCAGGTTAACGTTTTAATTAATAGGATTAAAACGGTAACAAACAATCGCGGGCGCTATCTGGCCGCGAGTCTGAATAGTTTCATTTCCCAGGTCTGAAGACAGGCAGCAGCTAGAGCTTTATAAAAGGCGCCTGCTCCATTATTCTGCCTGCCATCTGTATACACAGCTTAGCGCATATGTTTGCAAGGCGCTGGGTCCTGTTAGTAACCCAACAACTGCCTTTAGCTTGACATGTGTGGCGACTTTCACTCATCAATGAGCACACTAAAAGCCCTACTTAGAGCCGAGGATGTTCTTTGCTCCTTCAGCAAATTGTAGATCGGCTGCGAAGCCTGGGAGTCCTGTGGAAGCAGACGCCCCCACCCACCGCACCCCACCCCCACTGCCCTTCCCTCGCCTCTGCTGTCTCATCTCGTGTTAAATTACCCTTCCGGAAGAGAATTATACTCCACCCTGTTCGTACAAGCCTTTGGTCTGGTTTTGGCGACGGGACTTTCCGGGGATGGGGGTGGGGGGTGTAGAGGGGTGGAGTGGTGTCCTGGCTGGACTGCCCGAAATTCACCCAAGACTTTCAGCTAGTAAGAGAGCAAAGCAGTCTTCCCTCTGGAACACATGCCCCTCTCGCGCCCCCAATACTCATTTATTACCCTGATGGGGGCGGGGGGGGGGAAGGACATGAAAACCAAACTGAGTGTGCAGTCCATTAGATTGTAAAGGGCTGGAGGGTGCTTGTGCAATGTTCTCCAAATATCTGTTACAGTGATAATTATGAAGTACACGGTTTCCTAAACAGGAAGAAACGGATTTCTCAAACTTTCTTCAAGGTTAAAATCCTGTTTTAGAACACACAACTTCACCAAGAGTCAGACCATCTCACACACCAACTAGGGTATGTGTGTGTATTTATTTGCCGAAAACGAACTGCCACAGCTAGGAAGCCATTCAGGGACATCTGGATAGCCCCGGTTGTTCTTGGAGGACCAGCAAAGGGACAATTATGAAAACAAGTGCTTCTCTCCGGATGGGAAGTGGTACACGCTGTCTTCTCTCTCCTGAGTTCAATGTCTGGGATCACATGGTATTTTGTGGCTGGTTTTCATCCTTATGACATAAGTAAAAACAATATTTCCTAATACCTCCAATAAATCTTTCATATGTGGCAAAATTACTGAAGCCTATGAAATTTTTGGTTTCTCTAGTTTCATTAAAAACCTTTTAATTGTGGCTTTCAGAGTTGGCCCCAGGTGTTGGACTCTTTTCATTACATTTTGCTCTAATGTGATGAAATTCTAATTCTCTCCTTACCATATGGTTAAATTTCCCCACTGAGAATTAGTTGAAAAAGGAGAAATAATCTATTAATTTCTGTAATAGATTCACAAATGAGGTTCGCCACAGAACCTGTTTTTGAATGGTAATATCAGAACAGTTGGGCGCCTTATTTCATAAAGGAAGAGTGAGGACGACACAGAAGCGTCTGCATTTTCACCTGGAAGGATGAAAAGGGGCCCAGCGGTATCTTTCCAAAATAATTGCTTGAAACTCAATCTCTCTGGGACAGAGATACTACGCAGCCTTGGGTTACCTTCGCTTCATTGATTTACTGGAACCCAAAGAATGAAAAATAGCGGGGGTGGGGGGGAGGAGGGGGGACTGCGAGAGGCTTTGTAGTCTGGGACCCAGGCGGGCGTTTCTGGAAGGCGCACCCATCTTTCTGGGGAAGCCCAACGCACGTTTACTCACCGGGGCGGCCCCTGACTCGCCATTTCCCTCCCACCTACCCTCCCCTGCAGCTCGCCGCTGTTAACCTCTCTGTTTAGGAAGCTTAAGACAAGCTCCTGTTACTGCTTTCCAACTAATAGCTTTGTTTGCACTTGCATTGTAAACAGAGGTTCTCTGTAAGCATAGGTAGGTCGTGTGTGCTTTAATACGAACTTGACACAGTCCTCTGGCCACTTAAAGGAGGATCGAAGTTGGGCCCCTCCTGGCGACAAACCCTAGATGTCTGACTCAGTTCTCCATCAAACCTGCCTCCTAGGATTCTGGCACTTTGGTGGGACACCCACAGTCCTGGCTGCTATTCTGCAGGCTTTAGCAGGGTGAAGAACCTATCATGCCTGGATTAAGTGGGAACTAGGGCTCAGCTACCGACGCCATATAGGGCTGTTTCCAAGGACGTGGAGTGGCACATCAGGAATGACTGCCCAACGAAGCAAATGTGTCTCCTGGACGTGCTAGAGTTGGGATCCCTATCCTTGGCCACTATCAGAAAAGGCAGCATCTGATGTACTTTGTGAGCTTCCTTGACCCTACTTACAGGACCTCCTGTCCACCCAAACTTTTAGAACAAACTTTGGCACAGCCTCTTTTTGCTCAACAGGAGTCAAAAAACTCTTTCTTCCTCAACTCAAGAAAATCCCCCCCGGTCTCCTCAGAGGAGGTGGCTGCTTAACAGTTATTGGAAACTTAGCTTTGGTAAACTGCTGAAGAATTTATAGAAGCTCTAAAAGTGGGTCTTATAACAGTCGTCGGGGGATGGGCTTTGAGGTTTATGCACTCGTAAACTTTTGCTGATTGCTTCTGGGAAGTTGTCAGACACTTAACACTGCATTTATCTTACTGGGCAATGAAAACACATCTGCCTGGCATCTCGTTACCGTTACCTGGTTACTCGTCGCAGCCCTAAGTCACGGCCTAGGCTCTCTCTGCTCACTTGCGTGAAATCTCACCACCTGGTTTCGTTCTAACCAAGGACTGACATCAGCAGCTCCCTTAGGGCCCTTCGGCCGCTGGAGCTCGCAAAGTCTGTTGAAGTTTGGAAGTGGGGAAAGGACCAGGTTCCTGATGTAAGTAGCTAGTTAAGAAGGTAGCAGAAGGGAAGCTAATAAAAACTATTTGTGGCCTGAGAAGAGTGTGGGAAAGTAGCTGAGCGGCCAAACTCCTGACCCACAAATGACCCCTGAGAATGAAGCCTTGGAAGTGAAATGCTTGACTCTTCGCACTTTCAGAGACGATCGCTGTGAGTTACCCAGGCATTTGGGGGACAAGAAACACACAGAACTTTCTCCTTTGCCCGCAGTAGGGGGAGGGCATTTGAGTCCCATTTGCGGACCGACGCGAGGGGTCGGTGGGTGTGGTCCAGGAACGCCCAGCGCAGCGCTCTAGTATTTGGCTGATTGGCACAACGAGGCCCGTTGACCACCACACATAAGGACAGGGAACATTCTCTGCCGATGCTGGATATCAAATTTAAGACGCTACAGCATGTTGTGCAAAGATGAATCCAGTTTTGTTACAGCAGGTGGGGCGGGGGGGAACATACCCAAGGCTTTGAAAGGATTTTAAAATTTTCAGGAAGCAGCACCGCAGAGAAATTATAGCATCGAGCTGCAAACCAAACTAATTTCTTAGGGCATACTTAAATACCCTAATGATCATCTTTATTAGTTTTTTTTTTAATTTGACATCGGAGTTATAGATAGAAAAAGAACGGAACACGATCTAAACTACTTTTTAATGAGCAAAACCAGGAGTTCCCCCTTGTTGTTTTATAGGTCTGATAAATAATTATTACTTCTCCAGATTTACGGAGTTAGGAGAACCCCGGAACACTGGAATTATCTGTGTTTATGTTTCCTGAAAGGGAGAAATGTGTGTGTGCGTGCGTGTGACCTTATCTCCTGGAGAACATTCTGAAAAGTCGAGCAAAGTTTGGCAAAATGACAGGAAGATTCTCTGGCGAAATGATATGGAAAGGTGCCAGAAAGAGGTGCCTGAAAGCCAGGGGACCCCCTCCGGATTGCGCTTCCCGGGTCTCGGAGCAGTCCTGCCTGGCAGATCAGGTCTGTTTCGGACCTCGGAGACGCAACCAAGCCTCCTCTGGAGAAAAGCGCCTGGGAGAAGTCTTCGCATTCTCCCCCACGGCGTCCTACGCGACCAATCCAAGCGCTATGGGAGTTTGCAATCAATCAGAGAAAGGTTTGCTGACCTTGAAGTTGCTAGTGCCTTTTTGCGCCCCTCGCCTTCCGGGATCTGTCAGCGTTTGGTACAGTTCAGCCCGCACGGTCTAGGCGGCTGGGGGGAGGTGTTCACCTTTCTGGGACACCGCGGGGTTAAAGATCGCAGAATCAACTGTGGGCCAGGGAGATTTAAGGCCATAAAACTCCAGAAATCCAGCCATTCCATGTCATTCTGTCACTTTTTTTTTTCACTCCCAATTTAGTGTTAAGATGTTATGATGTTTTGGATCCAGGTATTTCTTGGGGGGTTAGCGGGACTAATGAGGCTAGGGTACAAAATACAGGACGCGGGGGTGGAGGTGGGGGTGGGGCATCCCTGGCAGTAGACCAAAGTCTCAGACGTAAAGCTGCTCCGAAGTACTTGGCAATTTCAAGGACTTCGACGGTGGACGAGTTGAAACCTGTTGATAAAAAGTTCTTTCCTTCGAAAGATTTTCCTCTATATTTTAAAGAAAGGAAGTTATCTTCATCACTGTTTGTTAGCCTATGGTT